CTAGGGAGGTTCTCACACACACACACAGCCCCACGTTGGAGCGACAACTGCTTTCCACTGTGTCGCCATAGTGGGGTTTGGCGGCCCTATTTCTGAGACGGACCACGTGAGACATGAACGAAATGGCACCAACATTTGAAACCTGCTCGCACCAGCATCTCTGCGCAGGCACGTTTGTTTGGTGGTGCAATGCGAGTTGTGGGATGAACAATGTCGTAGTCAGCAAAGGACTCAGAAGATGGACGCTCCGACCGTGCCGCGCACAGGCTGAACTGGAGCCGGTTGATTTTTCACCTTCTTGAACTTCTTGCTTGACTTGTGTCTTGAACGAGATGCTGCTTCCATCTGTTTTTTCTTTTTCTTTTTTGCGTTCTTGTCCTTTTTCCTCGGTTTTTCTTTCTTCGTGATCTTCTCGTCAGACGAATTGACTCTGTTGCACAGGAGGTCCTTAGAAGAGCCCGGCATGTTGTCTTCCTTCTTCGGGAAGGCGTCCAGCTCATCCGATTGCCATGAGCTGACTTCATCTTCACTGTATGTCCCTGCTGGCTGATCCTGACAGTGTATGATGTGTGGAAACGGCTGCGGCGAATACAAGCTGCACTGTTCGATCAGCAACACTGGCATATAGGCTATAAATGCACTGCTCAAAGCTTTCAAGACGCAGTATTGCAGAACAAGCACACGTCGGACTGTTAGACAACAGCAAAATGTCCCGAATTGTTGCAAGTTGGTTGTTGCTGAGGCATGCGTCGATCAACGAAAACGCTGCGAGATGTAGGCCGACACCGTCGGCAAGGCGTGCATCAGCATGGAATGCCAATTAGTGGCACCTCTACGGCGTACGCGATCTCTTTCTCTTGGTCGGTGACGAGCAAATCGCATCACTGGTGTCCATACGATCCGGTGTGTCGGTTGTTGGTCCTGTCACCGGGTTGTTGTAGTCGGAAGTGGTTGTAATCCATTCCCTCGAGGCTATGAACCATGATCTCCACCAGCGACTGCCATCAGTTTGCCAGTGCCATCTCCATTCCGACCCTTTGGGGGATCGTCGCGGAATGTTGCATCCACTGAGAGAGGATGTGGCTACTGCTGGAGGTGCTGGTCTCGTTGATGATATCCGGGTCTCTCTTGAGACTTGACAAGCCTAGTCTTGTGAATGCGTATTGACTGACCATGTCGAAAAATCTCGGGAAGATGCTCATTCCCTGCTACGTGTTGGTGCCACACAACTCGATGTGGATCATCCTGAGGTAGATGTGCGATAGAGTGAGGGGTACGGTTGATCAAGAAGAGCTCCGTGATGTGTATCACGCAGGGCTGGTGAACCAACGGTGCTGTCTTCTTGTTGTGGTAAGCTTTTGGCAAAAGCTTGAAGTTCAGAAATCGAGCTGCAGTCAACAATGACGTGGGCTCCATGGCTAACTGCAAGCTAACAACAAACATGGCTGCGGAGCGCAAAACGTTCAAACTTGTTCAAGTTCAAGTGGGCTGTTAGCAAATGCGTCTTTGTGTCTGTCTTGCGGCCTCTACGCTCGGTCTGATTCAAAGATCTACGACCAGTCAGGGTTGCCCTGACGTAGCAAACTTTCCAAGACGTCTAGTTGCTGCTTGCAACTAGCAATTAATGCCGTCATAGCTTCATGTTGGGTAGCAAGCAACGTGGAGGTTTGGTGGAGGAGCACTTCAGTCTTGCCGTGTGAGTCCCCGATGACCTTGCGCAACTTCTCGATGAGTACGGTCACATCATGGATGTCGGCGGTGCTTTCGGTGTTGGTAGCTGTCGGAGGTGGGAAAGGAAGCGTGCTCGGTGCCGGCACGTCTGCTGGGACTTCCGGCTCATCTTCCTCGATGGGATCTTCCGAGAGTTCGGCGAAGGTTTCTGTAGCAACCCGCAAAATCTGTCGCCGTAATGTGGGTGCCTGTTCCACTCGTGACGGCTGCGAGGGCTGGGTGGTTCGCCCACATTGCGGCATGCCTGTCTGTTTTTGACGCTTGTGGCGTCGGTCCTTCGGGTGTTGTTGTCGTGGCTGTCGAGCAGACAGAGAACGGTGTGTGGGCTGCAATTTCCCACCCATATTTTTTGCGCATGGCGTCAGCACAATTGGGGTTGTAACTGAAAATGGCGGCGGAGTTCACAACAGCCGCTGCAAAACGACGGCATGCACAATGTTGTCTGTGAACAAAACAAGTGCTCAGCGCATGCACCTTTGGTTTTAAACTCGCAGCTGCGCTTCAGTGTATCTAGCAGCGATGTGGATGTCTCGTGTGGCTCGGCTGCATGAGTATGCTTGTTTGGCGATGTGACCCGCTGTACGATGCGGATTCTGGCTTGGTAACTGCTGAGCAGTGTTTGCTTGGTGGTGGTGGATTGAGGGTGTAAAATGTCCGCCTTGTGTACAGTGCATTGCGGTGTAAGGCTGTGTTGCTGCGGGTCGATGGAAAGCCAAGGAAAGTGTTGGCCGGTTCAGTTTTAAGCTGCACCGGCGGCTTGTAAAAAGCCGCAGCGGTGAGTTGCTGAAAAGGCGGAAGCGCAATGAGATGTTTGGGTAATAGTAAAACTCTGTTGTCCACATATCTGGTGGCAAATTATAGCGCGTGCTCCTGGTGGGTGTGCTGGTGGAAGTATTTATCTGTGGTTGGGGAACAGGTGATTGTACGTGTGATGCCAGCACAGTTCTTCAACTGCAACCACCTGATTGCAAAGTGCTGGACTGCACGGTCATCCCATGGGTGCCCCACGGAACTGCTCAATGAGCCGACTGTGAAGTAGTTAAGTTTCAATACTGCGGTTATCAGAAGTGGGATATGCTTCAGGTGGATTCCAAGCTTGTTGCCTGAAGATGTTTCCTAGTGGTAAAAGTCTTGTCTCTGTACCATCTGGCCAAAACGCTGTACGCAGACAAAAAACTGTCTTTTTCGACCGACGTGAAGAATCCAGCCAGATCCTGGTTGAAAAGACTGTACTCTGTATCGTCATGTGTCCTATCGCGTTCCTGCAGGAAGGCGGCTGTCTGTGTAAGTTGTGTGATGCCATCCCCTTGCTGGAAGGAGTCTGGGCATCCCTGTTTAATCATAAGTTGTAGCACGTCTGCGAGTGTTTCCCAGAGTTTTCTGCCCATAAAGTCAAGGAATGCCACGATCGGCCTT